AAAAAAAAAAAAAAAAAAAATACAAAAATTTAGGAAAACTGAAGGAATTACAAAACAAAGTCAATGCAGCATTTCGCACTAGCAAATAGAAGAAACCTTTAAAGTTGCGTTTTTACGGCACAAAGATGAAGCGCTTGCTCATCCATCAAAACAAGTAACAGAGTTTTTTTTTTATCAAATACAATGAAAAACAAGGCAATCCGTGTGAGTATCCCATGTTAGTGGTGTTACCCGGGCGCTCCTACATATCCGGCTTCGTTCAGAATCATTAGAAATTAGTACATTAATCCTGTGCTATTTCTACTTAATTCAGACTAATGGCAGCGTATCGTACTGCGTCGTAAGATAGAACAAAGTAAGATATGGATAAACATTTCATTCCGTCAGTGTCGCGAACAGAGCCCTTTCTCTCAAAAATCGTCCTGGATCGGAGGGGAATCGAACCACTTCCGTTCAATTCCGGACGCAGTGTATTACCACTACACCACTGGTCCCTGTACCTGTTAGCACATCCACTGTGCGTCTGTTTTTTGAGGCAAAATACACCTTTCTTTTCTGCTCTCTTTTCTTTGTGGCGGCTTTTTGGCCGGCTTTTCGCGGGTTTTCCGCGACAATCAGAAACACCAACACACTAACATGGGATACCCGCAACGACTGTTTAAACGGTCTTGTACCCTTTGTTTAAGAAACCTACCCTAATAAAAAATGAACATACCTTCTCTGGATTTGTACGTTTTGCCGAGCAAATAAACCGGAAGATTTGAGTGGAACAACGCAGAATTTTGACTGTCGGAAAAACTGGGATCGAAAGTAAGACAAGTTTCCAACATTTTACTCATCGTTGGCTTCAAATCTGCCATAAACTTCCTGCAAAATTGCTCATACTCATAAAAAAAGCCAGCAAAAATTAACACACTGAGACGTTAATAATTTATAAAAATAACGACAAAAATGACCGAAGAAAGAGGGCACCAATAAGCCAGGGTGATTTCGGGACCATAGCCACAATCTTGAACGATCTGAGTTGAAAAAACAAAAACCCTCACTTTCGTATGAGTTATAACGCTGATGAACTAACCTGGAAAAAAAAACCCAATTTCTTATTAGTTCTATCATAGATCAATGAATTTAGAACAACCGCCGGGAAAGGAGCAAGATTATCAGGTCAACGAACATCGCAAATTTGTTCGAAATGTCTGCAAGCCATCGAATGTTCGTTTTGTCCAACACATCAATGAACTTCACCTCATCAATTAAATTATAATATTTACTTAATATTTGACAGAGATTGCTTATTTAATTACTAGATTTAAGCAAAATTATAAGTGCTACACAAGAAGCTGCTACCAGCTGAATGCGAATATATATTGAAATATCAAAGATTGAAATCTATAACATATACGAAGAAATGATACTTTAGCTGAGATTCAGACTTTTCGGTCGTTCATTAAATTGCAAATCTCTTAATTCAACGCCATGACTGGAACTCATAAAAAGACAAACCTCATTTCCCCCGACCTTTATAAGTCGTTCAAATTCACTTCTTACTGACACTATGTTTCCAAACAACTCTCTTAAAAATCAAATTTTCAGCGTAAGTCTCGTTTTCCTGTCATTCATAAGCTCCATCAGACAGTGTTTATCGATCTAAACATTCCATCACAATGATGAAACTTACGCTATTAATAACCTACAGTACAGCACTGTTGTAGCTTATGAGAGGTACTGTAACACACCGTAAAGCCACAGTAACAACGCTGCAAAAACAATCTACAGTACAGCGCTAGTTTAGATTATAAGAGACACTGTAAGGAAGGTACCGTGAAGCTACAGTAAAAGTAGCGCAGAAGATATAGTAAAACTACAGCAGGGGTATCGCAGAGCCAAAATACAGTAATCCGATGATACGGTAGGCCCGCGAATACGGTAGGCTGAAATACAGTAACGC